TGGATACTATATGTAAAACAAAGGATAACCAGACTACAAGTCACAGCTCCAGAGAAGCTAGGAAACAAGGAGGACCCTAAGAGGAACGCATGGATTACCCTGGGAAGGGGAAACAGATAAGCTCTCCATGAGTAAGCTGGGGATGGAGGGTGGAGTGACAGAGGGGAGGGTATAAGGGATGAAAACATGGGGGAATGGGATAATCGAGCTGTGGGAGCGAAGGAGTGAGAGAGCAAGAAAAGAGATATCTGGATAGAGGGAGACATTACGGGGTAAAGGGTGCTAGGGAATTTCCCAGGAATTCTCAAAGACGACCCCAGATTAGACTACTAGCAATAGTGGAGAGGGTTCCTGACATGGCCTACCCAGGAATCAGATTGGTGAATACCCTGTCATCATAGAGCCTTCATCCAGTAACTGATGGAAACAGATGCAGACACCCACAACCAAGCACCAGGCCAAGCTCCAGGAGTCCAGTCAAAGAGAATCAAGGGGTGTCAAGATCATGATGGGGAAATCTACAGAGACAACTGAACCAAGCTCACAAGAACTCACGAACTTTAGACCAGCAGCTGTGGAATCTGCATGGGACCAGACTAGGCCCCTTGCATACGGGAGACAGTTGTGTAGCTTGGTCTGTTTAAGGGGTCCCGGGAAGTGGGATAAGGATCTATACCTGGTCCATGAGCTGGCTTTTTGGAGCGCATTACCGATGATGAGACGTCTTGCTCGGCCTTGATTGTGTGTGTGTGTGGGTCCTTCCTCAACTAAATATACCAGGCTTTGCTGACTCCCAATGGGAGGCCTTACCCTTTTGAAGGAGTGGATGGGGGTGGGTCGAGGGGGGAGAGGCTGGGGGGAGAGGAGCGAGAGGAGGGATGAGAGGGGAATCTGTGGTTGGTATGTAAAATGAATTTAAAAAATTAAAAAAAATAAGAACCATCATTAATCATCAATCTGTCTATGCTGTAGTTTTAAGGATTGAATCGAAGGCTTTATATGTGCTAGGCAAGTGCATTACCACTGAACTATATTCCCAAGCCTTTCTATACTTTTATATTGGAATAGGATCTCATCAAGGTTGGCCTTGAACTCTTTCAGTATCCCTGTAGTTCCCTGAAGCTATGAGCTAACTCAGTTTCTCAAGTAGCTGAGTCCACCACCTAGAAATTCTTATCTGCACCAGCATGCTGATTAGGAATATTTAATTCAGTGATTCCAGTGGATATATACTAGCCTTTCAGTTTCCTAATGCATATCAGCCAGTGTTTAGCAAATACTCTTTTTCAGAGTAAAAGGGTACTATTTCTTATGGTTTTTCATGATAGATACTAAATTTTATTCTATATAAATGGTGCTTCAATTATGCGTATTTAGTTTTTAAAAAAAGCATCTAGGGCTCATAGCATAATTGATAATGAAATATTCAATACTTTCTTCATGGGGAGGAAGACAAGGTTACCTCCCTATCACTGCTATTCAGCACTGTCCTAGTGATCCCTCGCCATGCAATAATGAACAAAAAAAAAAATGAACAAACAAAAGAATAAAGACTGGACAGGAAAAAAATAAAAGTGCACACTAGGAATAATGAAACAAATTACTAGAATAAGAGCTTATAAAGATAAAAGATTATGACTTAATTAATTGGGTGCTCTGGGATTTATACAAAGGAATAAGGTAGTATGTATGTATGTATGTATGTATGTATGTATGTATTTATTTTGGGTTTTCGAGACAGGGTTTCTCTGTAGCTCTGGCTGTCCTGTAACTAGCTCTGTAGACCAGGCTAGCCTTGAACTCACAGAGATCCACCAACCTTTGCCTGAGTGCTGGGATTAAAGGTGTGCACCCCTACTGCCTGCCTTGTAAGCATTTATTTTTCACTTAAAAATTAAATGATTCTTTTTAATCATAGTAAAAACTAAAAGAGATATTATGTAAAACAGTTGATTAACCACAATGCAAGCTTCATAAATGTTACTCTATTCCTTTCTTTCTTTTTTTTTTTTTCCATCACAGGCAATTTATTTTGTTCTATTCATTCACAGTTAATACAGAAAATACTTGGAAACATTTCCATATAATATTTGACACAGAAATCATCAAATAGAAGTACACAATGTTGACAGGAGGCAGTACATTTATAATTTATAACCCCAAATGTATTTATAAATTAGAAATGGAAAGATCTACAAATGAAATTATGAAGGTTCACCAAAGTCATTTAATTTGTCAGTTTCTCATTCATTTTTATGTCTTAATAATATTCTATTGTATGAATAAGCCACATTTTATTTCTCTCCAGTATTTGATAGCTATTTGAGTTGTTTTAACTTTTTTACTATTAGCAACACACTGCTGTAAACCTTCATGTACATGTTTCATAGGTGCACATTTTCAGTAGTTTGAGGATATATTCCTAAGGGTAGAATTATTGAGTAACAGAGTAACAATGTTTTGCATTTTGACCAACCACCAGACTGTTTTGCCAAAGTGGCACACCATTTTACAATCTCACCAAATCCTTGTTTTTAAGGCTCTGATTTTTGTACAAAAGCATTCAATCATTCTGTCAGACCAAACCAGGAAAAGTAAGCTATAGTTCAGAGCTGTTCTATTCCATTTACTATGCAAAGCCAATCTTGGCGTTTGCAACTCTCAGCCCTTTTGAGTATTCTTGCAGTGTTCACCTTTTCCTCCACCACTTTTTTTTTCTTCTTTTTTTCAGGTTTATTTCTATCTATTACAAATGTATAAAAAATCCTCCATCAACACTGCTGATAGCAGCAGAACCTTGAGAAATATATCTTTGGTTTGTCTCAGAAAAGGAACACATATTGCACTGTAAAGTTTATAAAATTGGCGCAAAACATTGTAATAATGTTACAATACCAGTTTTAAGAGTTCAGTGACTAATGGGGAGCCTATGGGATACATGCAGAACTGTGAAAGCGATCTCACTTAGCCAGCTGTACAGTAGACTGTAAATCTACATTCAGATCATTTCTGAACCTTTCTTTTAATATATAAATTACCCTCAAACCCTTCAGATAACTTTACATTGACAATCAGAAAGGCTGGGGAGATGGCTCAGTAGGCAAGGGTGCTTGCTGTGCAAGCATGAGGCCATACAAGTTAGGCATGGCAGCTTCTGCCTGTAACCCATTAAGAGGATGGAGAAAGAGATCCTGAAAGCTTGCTGGTAAGCCAGCCTAGCCTCAACAGTAAGTTTCCAGTTCAGTGAGAAATCCTATCTTAAAACAAAGTACAGAATGAGAGAGAAAGACATCTCCTGCTCTGTCCTGCACACCCACACATTCGCATGCATGCAACACACATGCACACATACCAATTAATAGTGGGACAATATAAGAACTGAACTCAAGTCTCTTCCTTGAAAAGATTCTGGCAATAGATAGCTCTTTCTGAATATTTAAATATAAAGCTCAGTAGTAGAAATAATAGTTCCATGTAAAAAATGAGTACAGGGAATTAGGAGAAACAAATTCTTGGTTTTATTAGTGTCAGAAGTAACTCGGGCTTTAACTCCGTAGATTCAACTAATGACTTCTAAAAATATGAGTGTTATGCTGGAAAATTTCCAAAGCCTCTTTTAGGATTTAAAATTCTATAACCATTCTATTAAAACAGCCTTATAATGGAATTTGGAATTTATTTATGTATTTTTGTGTTTGCCCACATGAGTTTGTGTATTATGTGTACAGGAACCCATACAGGCCAGAAAAGGGTATCAGATCGCCTAGAACTAGAGTTACAGGAGTTTGCAGAGCTGGTGCTGGAAACCAAATCCAGATCCTCTGCAAGAGGACTAAGCTAGCTGAGCCATCTTTCCAGCGCCATAAATAGAATAGTAAAACACAGATTCAGAGAACTCTGGTCTTCAATCTACAAATTTTCTAAATAGTACAAGTATTTCTTGCAAAATATACTCCTGACCCAGTGTGGTAGTACACACCTGTATCTCTACACTGGGAGGCTGAGGACTGAGTATAAGGCCAACGTGGGCTACATAACAAACACTTTGTGTTTCAACAGAGAAAGAAAAGAAACAGAACTCTACTACATTAATCAAAAGGATAGACTGTTTCTGTTAAGTCGGTCATAGTCTAACCACAAGTCTAACTACTAAGATATGTTAGTGTATCTTTCAGCTATGTTCATAATAGTATATTTCTTTAGTGCAATTTATAATGCTTAATTGTCAAAGAAAGCATCTCTATGATTCATCATGTCTTATCCTCTATTTCTCTGACCCAATGTTTCTAACCAGAAGAACCATGACCAGGAGTACTAAAAAGTAGGTAGAAACCTAAGGAGCTTAAGATTGAGGATTTGCACAGCTTTGAAATGGAGTATCTTGTGTAAGAAGTGTCTTTATAAAATATTCTTAATTCAACAATTTACAGTAAGAAATTAAGACTTTTGAGAGAATATCCATCAACAGCTGAAATATCACTGAACAACTCCAATTTCAATTTAGTAAATGTATATACACCTAAAGCAGTGGTTCTCAACCTATTCAATGCTGCAATCTCTTAATACAGTTCCTCATGCTGTAGTGACCCACAGCCATAAAGTTATTTTTGTTGCTATTTCTGAACTGTAATTTTGCTACTGTTTTGAATCTTAATGTAAATATTTTTGGAGACAGAAGCTTGTCAAAGGGGTCATGACCCACAGGTTGAGAGCTGCTGATCTAAAGGTTTTTTTTCTCTCTTTAGATCAAGAGGCCTTAGTCTTACTTTTTAGTTCTCTGAGACACAATAAAACTAATACTACACTTACAAGTTGACTTATAGTTATACATACCTTAAAGGAACAGATTCTGATATGTTAAAACAACAAGCATAACAGGCAAAGGAATTGAGTCTAATTATTCAATTAAAGATGTTAAAACTCACTAAATAAGAAAGGGCTTTATATAATGAACAGAGAAAAAAACTACAAGGAAATGAAAGGCAACTGCTTGAACTTACTGGGTTATCTGTGGAATCGTCAGCCAACTGTAAACCAAAATAGTCTCTCTCAGTCAAATCAAGATGCTTGAAGACTATATCCAACAGAACTTGCCCCTGATCATGTTTCTGCAAGAAAAATAATACGAAACCATCTTTAATAGGCTGTACATTCTTTTTTCGCCCTTGTCTTTGTGAAACAGGGTCTCACTAAGAAGCCCTGGCTGAGCCGGGCGGTGGTGGCGCACGCCTTTAGTCCCAGCACTCGGGAGGCAGAGGCAGGCGGATCTCTGTGAGTTCGAGGCCAGCCTGGTCTACCAAGTGAGTTCCAGGAAAGGCGCAAAACTGCACAGAGAAACCCTGTCTCGAAAAAAAACAAAAAAAAAAAAAAAAAAAGAAGCCCTGGCTGGCCATGAAAATCACAGAGATTCACCTGCCTCTGCCTCCTCTCAAGTGTTAGGATTAAAGGTGTGCACTACCACACCATGCACTTTGTTTTTTAACCTTGCATAACTTTTTGTCCTTTTCTACTACAATGGCCATTGTTTATATAGCAATGACTTGGTTTAGAATAAAGCTTCATATGTCAATACCTTTTAAGGGAAACTGTTCATAGAAAAAGTAATAAATATGAAGATGAAAAACTCTGGACTGAAAATGGCTCCTGCAGGCTATTATTATGGTATTTTTGTTATTTTATATTGTTACCACAATAACTATGGAGGCCCACAAAGGTTTCCTAGTGAGATCTGAGCTTGTTTTACCCAGCAGGGCTACATTAGAGGATTGCTTGACCACATGTGTGGCTACCAGGTAACTGGAAAGGGTCTGCACTTGGCTATGCTAGGGTGAGGTCTTTTGCTCCACCCCTTGGCATTCCTATAAAAAGCCTTTAGAAGAGACAGAAGGGGCCAGTAGATACTGATCCCGGCCCTCTTGAGGCTATCCTGTGTTTCTGTTTCTCTCCCCTCTATTGTTCTATCTAAATATTTCTGATACCTCCCACCTGAAGAGTACCCTGGGGAAAAAGTGAAAGGGGGCCTCCCACATAGAAATGGGTAAGCCCCCCAACAGATGGTACCAGGAACAGGGACCAGGGACTTGGTGAAAGGGGGTTGGGGTGCCATAGGAAGCAGTGGGCATGTCCAGTTTTGTAGTATAATGAAGACAGGGGTATTCTATTTTGGGCAGTATAGGTAAAGTAAGGCAGCTGAAAGAAATGCCAAAGTGAAAAGTGAGGCTGCAGTGAATCCCTCCCTCCCTCCCTCCCTCCCTCCCTCCCTCCCTCCCTCTCTCTCTCTCTCTCTCTTAATTTCTATCTATAAAAAGTAAAAATATAGGATTAGGTGTAGGAATTGGGTAAGAAGAAATTTAGAATAAGAGTAGAACTAGGAATATTGGGTAGGAAGAAGCTTAGAGTAAGGCAGAATATAAGAATATAGCTTAGAGTAAGGCAGAATATAAGAATATAGTGTAGAAAAAACTTAGGGTAAATAGCAACAAGACAGAGGAGCTATATCCTTAATTTTTCCAACTATAGGACTATGAACGCAGACTTCTGGGAAAGAATCATAGCCATGAAGAAAACACTATTAAAGAAAAAAGGCAGAAAAAGATTCCTGTGGAAGCTTTTGGCCTGTGGACAGCTTAGATGCAAACCTTGAGTGTAAGGGAAGAATTTTCCCAGAGGCGAATGCAGGTGAAATAAAACCCTTCACTCTGCTGACAGTGCCACTGTATGATAACATTGCACCATCAGACTCAGTTTCCTCTTGGCCATGAAGCCAAGTTTGGGGAACAAAATTTTTAGGAAACACTTAACAATTACTCTCTAAAAGACAAAACAAAACAATGCCAGGCAGTGGTGGCACACGCCTTTAATCTCAGCCCTCAGGAGGCAGAGCCAGGCGGATCTCTGTGAGATTGAAGCCAGCCTAGGCTACAGAGCAAGATCCAGGTCAGGCACCAAAAGTATGTGGAGAAATCCTGTCTCAAAAAACAAACAAACAGCCCTAACGTCCGTGCCGTGCTTCTGAGTGGCCGCTGAGCGTGCGCGTTCACAACCCACGAGGACCCGCGAGCTCCGCCGCCGTGATGAACATCCGCAATGCTAGGCCCGAGGACCTGATGAACATGCAGCACTGCAACCTGCTCTGCCTGCCGGAGAACTACCAGATGAAGTACTACTTCTACCACGGCCTGTCGTGGCCCCAG